TTAGGTAAACTTCCACTTCCTAAAGAAAAATCTAACTACTGACTTGCCTCTATAACAAGAGGTAAGTTGCCTTACCTCTTATAAGTTGCCTATATAAGTTGCCTCTATAACCATTTGCCCAACTCCCAACATCAATTTCTTTCTTCCACCTGGACTTCAGTTTGTCTGAAACAGTGGTAACCTTTGTAGGTACAAATAAGTGCTCTGGACAGAGCTTGGACACAGTTCTGTCCACACCTGACATGGAAACCAATATACTTTCCCCCAGTGAGGCCAATACAAGGGCCCCTGGAGGACAATTTCATGTCCATCCCTCTGCCACTCAGGATCAAAGAGGATGCTTCTACATAGAACCTCTCTGCATCAAAGGAATGCTGTCCAATAGGACTATCACAAGAGATATAGACATCATTTAAAATTTTCTGGTAGAACTTAAACAAAGGAAAACAAGGTGAAATTAATTTAAATATTATATTTTATCTAACTCAATGTATTCAAAACATTATTATTTTAGCATCTAACCAATATTTAAAATTAGTGAAACATTCTACCTTTTTTTCATACTGAGTCTTCAAAATCAAGTGTTTTACAGTTGAGGCACTTCTCAGTCTGGACCAGTCATATTTCAGATGCTCAATGGCAAGATGTGGCTAGTGGCTACCATATCAAACAGCATGGACCTGCAATGTCTTATGTGATAACTGTCTGCCAAATAAGTGAAAAGCGTGAAAAGCTTTTTAACTGCACCATTTATTTTCCCGATACCTCAATAAGAAACTAAGAGATAGCAGTTCTGTGAAGAGTAAATAAAAGCTTCTGAAGAAAGGAAACGTGACTCATTTATTCCAAATCAAACCATGAGTAGACTTGGAAAAAATTTCTGGTCATCTTGAAGTCTAGAACTTGCTACAAAAGATCAAAACCTTCTTTGTAGGTGGACTTATGAAAACAACATGGTACCTATCAGGCTCTTCTCATTAAAAATGTGGCCAATTCCCAAATCTCTTTTTACTTCAAACTGATACATAGGTTTTTTTAACTACACAATTCCATCCTTTTTTTTTCCCCCAGATAGCTGGCAACTAAATTTCCTCTCTTAGCTGGCTCCAACCCTTCCTTCTCAATTTTGTCAAAAGCCAGACAAACAGTTCATAACTCAACTCTATAGCTGAAAATTGTAAAAGGAATTCTGAACAAAGTTGCAATAAGCCTTTCAAATATAATGAAAAAACCACCAGATTGAATATAAAACATTTACTTAATATTAACTTCTAATCTCTAGTAACCAGGAACACACACACACACAAAAAACAAACCAGAATAGCCTACCTAGAATAATAAAACTATAAATTAAATGTTCAATCTATTAAAATACTCAAAGCCCTTAATAAAAATATTTTTAAAGATAACTCATAGAGTCAGTCGATCTGTAGTTTAAAAAAAAAAAAAGACCATAGATTTGAGCATAGACTTGAAGTTCAACAAGCCTAGACTCAAACCCTAATCCAACCACTATGAGCCATGAGTAAATTGTTTAACCCTTCTGAATATCTATCATCATCTGTAAAAAGAATAACTAAAACTCTACCCTTTATACAGTTATTGAAAAGATTACACAAAATAAAATATTGTAATCAGCACATTATTTAGGTGCTAATAAGCATTAGTTAACTCTCAGCCCCCAGCCACATTCATTTCTTTAATTTGGACAAAGCAGAAAATACTTCTGTGAATTTATTTATAGCTCTAATACCAATATAAATAGGAACCCTACAATCCCTAATTTTTCTACTCTTCTCAGAATGATGTTGGGGCTGGGATAATGAGTAGCTCAGCTATATGCTACTGACAGCAAAGATCTGTAAAGAGCTCTAGTATCTGCTGTCAAAAACAGTTCAATGACCTCATTCCATTACCTCAGGCCTAGAATAATGCCAATATTAATGCAGTGAGCATTATCACAGAGAAATGTATGGGGCAGTAAGGCAGCCCAGAAGGTAACACTTGGCTTAGCCTAGAGAGTGCGCATGGGGGGCTTCCTGAAGAAGGTAACCATTTGATTTGCTCCTGGCAGGCAAAACTGGTGAGGACTATAGGAAAAGGAGTGGAGAAGGAAATCTAGAGACAAGAAATGGTGTGGAACTTCCCTGGCGACTCACTGGTAAAGAGTCTGTTTGCCAATGCAGGAGACACAGTTCGATCCCCCGTCTGGGAAGATCCCACGCGCCACAGAGCAACTAAGCCTGTGTGCCACAACTACTGAGCCAGCGCTCCAGAGCCTGGGAGTTGCAACTACTGCACCCGCATGCCCTAGAGTCTGTGCTCCATAACAAGAGAAACCACTGCAATGAAAAGCCCGTGCACTGTAACTAGAGAGTAGATCCTGCTCCTCGCAACTAGAGAAAAGCCCATGCAACAACAAAGACCCAGCACAGGCAAAAGTGAATAAATAAATAAATATTAAAAAAGAAATGGTACAAACGAAGGCATAGGATGTGGTACAAACAAACAAAACAAGGTTGTCACTGGAAATCAAGATTGGCATCAGTGAAAAGAGGAAGGAAACTGGTGGGAAACCAAAGACTACGGTTCCTTTTTTTGCCGGCGGTTCAAGGGAATTAATTCTTGCCCCCTTGACCTTTTTTTTCTTTTTTCCCTTTTGGAAAACAATACAAAAGTACACAAAACAAGAAGCATCTTTTAAGGACTTTCATAGGGAAAAAAGGTATCTATTAAACAACCAGGGGGAAGAAATTTTGGTAAAATATAATTTCACTTGGAAACCTTTCCCCAAGATTGAGCTTTACTAATTAATATCAAAGCAGGAAATCGATTGGTATTTGTGTCATTGAAGAAAAATCAACAATGAAATCACAATTATCACTTAATCTTCACTGGCATCAGGAGCCTTGGTACCATACAGAGCCACTCTCTCCCACAGGGCAAGGGAGAGACTTCGAATGAAGTCAGGTTCCTGACATGTATCTCATCCTGCCTAATACTTCTGGAAGGATCATTAAAAGAGAAAAATTAAATATTTCCAGTTATTATTTGTCACATAATTAACTTTACAGTAACCGTTTCTATTTATTTTTTAATTAATTTTATTGGAGTATAGTATATTAGTTTCTGCCCTACAGCAAAGTGTGTGTGTATACATATGTGTGTGTGTGTGTGTGTGTGTGTGTGTGTGTGTATATATATATATATATATATATATATATATATACACATATAAACCCCTCTCTTTTGGATTTCCCTCCCATTAGGTCATCACAGAGTAATCTTTTTAAGTTGAAAAAAAATGGCCTATGAAAAAAAAAAAATCACCACAGAAATGGCAAAATCTGAAGAGAAGAGAGAATATGACAGCAAGACCAGACCGCTGGGAGTGAAGTCCTAGGATCAAGATACCAAGAAGAAATTCTAGGGGAAGTCCAACTTTAGGGAAACCCAGTGGGAAAGTATTTTTTTAAACAGTTTGGGGATTAAAAGCAGAAAAGCCCTTCCAGGAAATCATGTTACTGAAGTTCTAAACCCTTTTAGTCTTTCTCTATTCATAGGCTACAGCTCTAAAGAGCACTCTAAATAATTAGCTGCTGCAGATGAGGGAAGGCAATTTGGAGATGGTGATGAATATCAGGTAGTAACAACAGCAATACAAGATCAGGACTTCTTTGCTGGGCACAGTCCTTCGCTGGTACTATAGCTCCTTCCTAATAACATTAGCTTGTTCTTGGATTTCCATATTAAATCAAACAACTTCTCTCCAAAAGGCCCAGTTCTTAATTGCTTAATCAGTTCTTACTTGCCTCCATTTTCAGTTAGATAAATAGATACAAACAGAAATTGGAACTAAAAGTCTATATAGACTCAATTTCAAAAATAAGAAGAAAAGAAGACAACATTATAAACGTCCAAATGGTTGTATGTTTAAGCAAATCTATTCTTCTAATGTCAGAGGCAGAAGAATCTATGTGCAAAAAAGGATACAAAAAAGGAAAATACAGAAATGTAGACAGGTGTCATAAAAATAATGTCTTCAAGAGGACCTGCTCAAGCCTCTGCGTAACTATGTCATAACAATAAGATGAGACAGATTTCTGTGTACAGACAAGAAGCTCTGAACTCTCCCAGTCTGTACAACTTATTTTCAGGGTTTTTTTTTAGCTTGATAACAGAAGAGCAGAAGGAAGAGTATTCTAATAATCTTTTCCTATAATTTAGAATATTCATTGATACTACACTGGAATTTGACAAGTTGTAGTTTCTCTTCCTTTTCCAGCCTCATTGAGCTATATTTAACATACAACATATATGTAAGTTTAAGCAGTATATACATGATGATTTGATAGACATATTTAGTATGAAATGATTACCAAAATAAGATCAGTTAACACATCTATTATCTCACACAGTTAACATTTTTTGTTTGTATATGGTAAGAATATTTATATTTTTGCATTTAACTATGTTCTTTTCCTCTCGAATATTTAATAAGCATGTACTATGTTCCAGGCAATGTGTTGCTTTGCCAGATAATAATTTCAGAGTCTTTCAGTAATGCTCTTTCTCCTATTTTCTACAGTAGGGTCCCCAATCTCTGAGATCTAATGCCTGAAAATTTGAGGTAGAGCTGATGTAATAATAACAGAAATAAAGTGCACAATAAATGTGATACGCTTAAATCATCCCAAAACCATCCTTCTCCCACTCCTGGTTCATGGAAAAAACTTCCACCAGAGATCTTCCAGTCTCTGGTGCCAGAAAGGTTGGGGACAGCTGTCCTACAGCACTTAGCAGGGTACTGAGTTCAGAACATCTGCCCAATAAATGTCCATGAGAATATTTCTTTAAGGGAACACAGGGGGATGTATGGGGTTAGCACTATACCCAATGACGTAGCACAGACACTTGTAAAACGGGCCCACTTCAGTAACAACCTGCCTCTGCTTACTGACCCATGCCCCATTCTGACTGATTAGTCACACCATACATACCTGTCCACTGAGGGGGACAGCGGCAGTTGTACGTATTGACCCCATCCACACAAACCCCTCCATTCTGACACTTGTGGTTAGGACAGTCATCTATGTTCCGCTCACAGGTGACTCCTTCAAAACCTAGGAAGAGAAGCATTAAAGGAAATGATAAATTCTCATAGAGATGATGTGATCTGTTCTTCTCCACAGGACATGGTCATCAGAACAGACTGACTTCATTATTACAGTTCAACAGACAGCAGATGGTCAACCCAAGACTCACCATATAAAAATCCCCCAATCCTCTGTCTTTTCTTGCCTCAGGCATAGACAGTTAAAACGAATCATTATGCCAATGACATGCCTTCATAGTTACCTCACAAGTATTTCAAAGTGTTTTCATGAAATAAAATCCCAGTGAAGATAAATGTCTACTCAGGAAAGCTGGTTCTAAAAAAAAGGGTATTAGATTTTCCCCAGCTCCATGCTAGATTAAGAACAAATAAAAGATTACCTACTTAAATTTAAATTCCTTTTTGTTTTTTTCTTGGGGTAAATCATGGGGGAGAATATGGAGACATTAAAAAAATACTGAACTGAAAGTCTGAAGATAAGGGTCAAGTTCTAACCTCACTGCTTATAAGCCACTTAATATTTGGTAAATTACAAACTCTAAAGTAGCTTCCTCATCTGTAAAATAAGTCTGGCTGCACCTGCCCAGCATGTCTTTCGAGGCTGTTATAAGTGCCACATCGTAAGTACAACACAATATAAATATAACAAGCTATCTGAATATGGGGTGGCATGATTACTAACTAAACTTGCCAACTCTTCAAATTGTTCATCCTTCTTTTCACACTTATAGCACTGCTTCTTTCCTCTTGATTTTTCCTTTTTATGAAAAATGAAACTAGCACATCAAAACTTCACCCTAATTGCCCATAGTATGTTTCCCTATATAATTTACACATTGGGCTTTTTTCTTTCTCTTTCCTTGCTACCAAATCTCTTAACTACTAAATGGAAGACTATCAGCGTTAAGACAAGAGAGGAAGTTTACTGAACATTCCCTTATTTGAAACACATATGACTAAGTATTTGGCCTCTTCAGAATGTCCCTTAAGTTTCTCTCTTTTACTCAAAACACATATTGGGTCTTATATTGGCACTGGTATAGTCAAGTAAAAGAAAGAGTTCCTGCTTTCAGGACACTGCAGTCTGGTGAGTGGGCAGACATCAATCACGCCTTTTCTTCATTCCTTAGCACAAACTACTGTGGTGTTCTACATCTGTCCTGTCATACTGGAACATAGCTGGTTTCTCTGAATACAGTAGCAGTCATGTACATGAGTATGAACCATGTACCCAAAAATCTACCCAGAGACCAAAGGAAATCACTTTGTAGAAGATGGAGATAAATAATTCTATTTCTCCAGGTATTTGGTAAGAAGTCCATGCAAGCAGATGAGTCATTAAGTAAGCTTGAGAAAGACTACAAAAAAATTTATATAGACTCAGATTTTTAAAAAATTAATCATGTTACTCAAATATCTTCTGGGCTTCCCAGGTGATGCTAGTGGTCAAGTACCCGCCTGTCAGTGTAGGAGATATAAGAGATGAGGGTTTGATCCCTGGGTTGGAAAGATCACCTGGAGAAGGAAATGGCAACCCACTCCAGTATTCCTGCCTGGAAAATCCCATGGGCAGAGAAGCCATGCGGGTTACAGTCAATAGGGTCACAAAGAGTCAGACACGACTGAAGTGACTTAGCATGCACTCATATATCTGTTTAATCATATGACAATCTTACAAATGGATTGAGTCAGTAAATGCTGAACTGCTTAAGCCCACCCAAAATTATGATAAAGTGAGAGCAAATCTATAGATTCGCAAAGTACAGTCCCTGAACAACAACTGAAGGCTCTGTTTCTAGTCTAGTGCTCTTAAATGGAAACATTCTTTGGAAAAGTTAGACACTTTCAGAATGTGGGAAAGAAATAAGGAGTCCTGGCCCACCACAGCAAGAACCTGTGTGGTTTGGTGGTATCCTAGAACTGATACTGGCCATCCTCCCCCAACTTGATCTCCCTGGTGACTAAGACTAAATAAGGTTGACTAAGATGTCAAGGAGGTGATGAAGCCTTTGTAGCCAAACTATAAGGAATTGAAACTGTGAACTTGAATTTTTATTAGCCAGTGTTACAACGAATAGAATTTGCCAACCACAGACAAATTAAGAAAGCAGAAACATTTCAACATAACCATAACATATAAGAAATAAAATGTTTTCTTTTCATGACTATTTTTGAGATAGTTCTTAACCTGTCACCATGTAGTTACTTAGGCAGAAAGGCAAATGGGTGAAAGAGTTAATTCATGGTTGAAGCATGGCCTCTGGGGTTAAACTGCCTAGATTCAATTCTCAAACTTTCCATGCAGTAGCTAAGTGAATATGGGCAAGATATTATATATGCTTAATACTTAAACTCTCTTTCCTCTCTGGACTAATTAACAGGACCTACCTGAAAGGTTGTTTTAATGATTAAATGAGTTAGACAGAAAAAAAAAAAATTTAATAAATTGTGCTGGAACAATTGAATATCTAGATGCAAAAGAATAAAGTTGGATCCCTTCCTCATACCATAAACAAAAATGAACTCAAAAATGTATGAGTTAAAATTATAGGATTCTTAGGATAAAACATAGAAGGAAACCTTTGAGACTTGAGCTAGAGATGTCTCACACATGACCAAAAGCACAAGTCACAAAAGAAAAAACTGACAGTTTGGAACTCATCAAAATTAAAACCACCTGGGTCTCAAAGGACACCAATCAAGAAAGTAAAAAGGCAGTCTACAGAAAGGGAGAAAATATTTGCAAATCACATATATAGGAGATACAAAGAATTCTTACAACAAAATTAAAATACAATATCCATAATAATACAAATAACCCAGTTATAAAATGGGTAAAGGAGCTAAAGAGACATTTCTCCAAGGAAGATATACGAAAGGCCAAGAAGCACATGAAATGATGCTCAGCATCAGCCACCAGGAAAATGCAAATCATGACCACAATAAGCTATCACTCATACCCGCTAGAATGGCTATAATTTAAAAGACAATAACAAATGCTGGTGAGGTAATGAAGAAACTGGGAATTCTCATACAGTGCTGGTTGGAATGTATAATAAAATAGTGCAGCCACTATGGGATATAGTCTGGGAGTCCTGAAAAGATTAAATAGGGTTACCATACCACCCAGCAATTCCTCTCATAAGTAAAACCAAAAAGAAATGAAAATATATGCCCATTCAAAAACTTGTACAAGAATGTTCAGAGCAACATTATTCTTAATTCTCAAAAAAAAAAAGCAGAAGCAGCCCAAATGTCTATTTTGTGATGAATGGATAAATACAAACTGGTAAATCCATATAATGGAATGTAATGCATACACAAGAAGCATACTATGTGTTCCCATTTATATGAAATGTCCAGAATAAACAGCTCTATAGAGAGAGTAGATGAGTAACTGCCTAGTGCTGGGAGGGAGTTGGTGCAGGGGGCGTGGTGGGTGGGGTGTGTGAAGAAGGTAGTGGTGGTTGGGGGGGGCGGTTAGGGAGTGATTGTTAATGGGAACAAAGTTTCTTTTGAAGTCATATAAAAATGAGCTAAAATTTTATTGTGGTAATGGTTACACGTATCTGTAAATATACTCAAAACCACTGAATAGTGTGCTTCAAAAGAAAATTATATGATATGTAAATTGTATCTCAATAAAACTGTTATATTAGAAGGAAAAGCACTTAAAACAATGCCTGATGCACTGTGTTTTATAAATATTAGCTAATACTATTATATATCAATGGGATCAAAGCATCTCTTAAGAGTTTATCTACTCTAATCCTTTTATGTAACAGATGAAGAAGGGCCACATGACTGACTTACTCTACATGGCTAGGAGGCAGCAAGCAGTCCTAAACCAGAAACTTTACCTAGATTCAGTCAGTATGGTCTCTGGGACCCCAAAGTTCTCTTCAAAAAATCTGAAAAACTGACCTTTGGTCAAAAGTTCCCAGAAGTTTGGCTGAGAAAACTCTAGCCAAATCAGTTCTCCTCGAAAATTAAGACAGGATTTATGCTTTAAAAATAGAGATACAGGCTCTTTTTGGAAATAACTAGCAAATTCTTATAAAAAGTCTACCCAAGGTAGGGGTAAGGGGGTGCAGAGGATGGATATGGGTTAAATGAATAAGTTACAGTGCAATCTCTTCTTTAAAATGTTTTAAGGTTTTAAGGGAAAGGGAAGCAGACCAGTCTGCAGACCTGTGGGTGGGATGGGTGTAGCCGACTTATGGAAAGGCTCACATGACTGTACTAAAAGGAGTTCACTGCTTGAAGCCAACTCACATCCTTAAAAGGCCAAAAAGAAAGAAATTAAACTCAGAAGGAACATTTTTAAGACTGTGCTGTTATACACCATGGGCCACGTAACTGATAAACGATGACAGGGAGGGTGGGGAGCAGAAAAATGTCTTTTGAACTTGTCATCCCACACAGATACCAGCATCTCCCAAGAGAGCTTCCATATCTTTTCATTTTCAGTCCCTAGGAGGTGTGACGGTGGAAAGACTTGGTGCAGAGGCTCAAAGAGGAGAGCAGAAAGGGGAAGCTGAGATGACACAACTGGGATTCTCCCAGGCCAGGCTGAAGGTCCTCAGGAAGAGCTCCATGCAGAGGGATAAGAGAGTGAAGAAAACCCAGGGATACCTGGGACTGGACAAAGGACCAAAGGTAAACAGCTACAGGCTACCTTGTCTCCCTGCCCTCTGGAAAGAAGCCTGTCAAATGAGCAAATTGGTCCCAGTTCCATCCCACTGGTTTCCTTGGCACACTTTACCCATCCTGTGAATGGGCCCCAGTGAGCTCACTGACCCCATGGCTGGCCCCACCACCCACCCAGGCTGCTGTTCCTACCCACCTCCCTCTGTATCTCCCAAATGAGCTCTACTTTCCTTTCTAACTTTTCCTCCAAAGAAGTCAGAGAAATGAGTAAAGGGATTCAAAAGAAATAACTTCAGAACTTTTTAAAAAAATTACAGAATATAGGAATGCTCTTCTCTATCACATCCAGTTCATTCATTTGTCAAATATTCACTCAGTCTCAATTTGCGCCAGGCACGAGGCTGGATACTGGGGGCGGGGGTAGGAGGTGGGTAGTTAAGATGAGAGTGTCTACTGGAAAGGATGAACATCTGCTTGAAGCCAACTCACATCCTTAAAAGGCCAAAAAGAAAGAAATTAAACT